AATATACAATCGGGTGTTAATGTTCTCAGCATTTTTCTTAACCTGCGGCTTCTTAGCAACGGGAGCCATCACAGCGTTTGGTGTGCCTCAAACTTGGGTAATTAAACCTAGAATAAGTAAATAAAAAAAAAGTATTAAAAAGTAAAGAATAATAATAGAAGAATAAGTAAACAAAACCAAAAGGAGCGAAGAGTCGCTTGTGATAAATAAAGAGATTATCTTATTAATGACACTAAATGCAAGAAACGAAAACAGCTCACGTCTAGTTCTTGAAGCAATTGTGGATCACGTTCACGAACAGGTGATTTGTTCTCTAGCTCCGCGGTATTGGTGGTAGAAGTAGCTGCTGGGGCATCCGTTCCTGCTTCCGCTCTTTTCTTCGCAATTTTTGCTAATAAACAACAACCAATCGACTTCTCATTATATACTCAATTAAGACTTATGATACCTGGTTAGCGGTCCAGTTACATGCAAGCCGCAACGCATAAAAATAACAAGAAAAGGTGATGCAAATAGAAAGTTTCTTCAAAATGAGCCTTCTTACGTGCTACCTACTGACGATTACTGTAGGAGTTTGGTATCAAAATGAACCTTTGTAAAGCCCAAATTCAAATTTCAAACCAGCCTAATGAAATTAGTCTACAATTTGAAGAGTAAAAAATAGACTAAGCTTACTTCGTAAAGGAGTGGATACTGAAGCAGATCGAGCAACGCTATTGGGTGTGGATGCACGACTGCCTGCGTCGCTTTTTCTGCCCTATAAAACTTGAGTATAATTTGATGTAATGGTATAAACGCAGCTAAAACTACACTCAAAATATAAACTAACAATCCATCAAAAATAAGTGCCATCTCAGCAACGTAATAAGAACATCTTTAGATGAAAACCCTTACAAGTAGAGTACCCTAATCGCAGCGCGGCTCTAAAGTGCGAGGGATCTGAAGCAAAGTATACTTGAAGAGAACATCTGAACTCCTGCGTCATCTTGAGTAACTTGAAACCCAAAAAAATGCGGAAAAGCAAAACAATGTAATTGAGTACTTATTCACTTGTGAGAACCTCACGTACATATGAAAGCACCATTTCGGGCGGGTACCGCCCAGATCTAACGTTTCCCCAAAACGATCTCTACCGAGCGCGAATGCAAATAGTGTCGATTGCGTGTTTTTGCTACTGAACGCGCTGCAGAAGTCTTCGCTGCGAGAAAACGAACCAGTGCCGGCCCAACCAGAATTTGTGAGAAAAATTGGGATTTGGGACTTGCGCAACGTTGCGTTATCACATAGTCAATTAGTTATCACACAACTTTAGTGATACCACACGTTATCAAAATTATGTGTGTCACTAAAATTGACTCATCCAAATTCTATCGATTAGTTAACTCTAGAACTAGAGGGTCGTCGGAGAAGATTTCTTATGTAACTCCCAAAACAAGCTTAAAACTCTCGAGCTTCACTTGTAGAGCTGGCTCAACATTTATTTCTCTTAAAGTCAATATGCCGTTTACTCCTCAGGTTTTTGTATCGTTCAAACGTAGGGCAAAGAAGCAGTTATTGCGTTATTCAATGATGTGATTATATTGTTTGATTGTATGTGATTGTGATTGCAGCTTTTACGTCTGCCTGCGAGCAGCGTCTAAAATAAATAAAATAAATAAATAAATAAATAAAGGAAAAGAAGGGCCACATACTGGAGGATCCACTTTCAAAAGCAAAACTTATACATGACCTCTATCATCTAAACGGAACTGTAAATAAGTTCTGCTGGCTTTGTTTCTGGTGAACAGGAACCGAAGAAAGAGCTGAAGACGTACGAGCTTAACGATAGTTATGTGTAACCACGTGACTATTTCATCTAACGCACTAAGAAGCGAAAATGACTGAAAGTGTAGTGGAATACGGGAGAGGTACAACTGGAAAAACATGTTCCCAAAAACAACATATGCGTATATTACTGAAAAATGCAACAATGAATCCTTTTGAAAAAAATGAAAAAAGGAATCAAAAGTAAAATAGGTAGGAGCGTTAATTGCTGCTCTGCAATCTGGTGGTTTCGCTGAATCGCGCAGGGGCCACAGGTTATATTGGACGGAATTAATAAACCGCCGGATTTTCACCTGCCCATAAACGATCACCTCTAGTATAGAGTTCGTAGTTGGAGTCTCATCCAATAAGGGGGGATATGGCGCGATAGACTATATTGCCTGAGGTAAAGCATTCGCAGGGGAAGAACGTCCTGGCATAGGTGGAATGCGGAAACAATATGGTTCACGCACCCTGACAAGTGAGAATCTCTTCCCTTTGCAAAAATTAGGATTTCTGTAGGCGGCGGCCCTCAGACAGAATGAGAACTCGATGTCAGTTTACACTGTACTTTGACTGAGTTTTGCTATTGAGAAGAAAGCATACGTCGTCCACCAAACATTCAACTCACATCGTCGTCATTACCGTCCTTGGTTTTTCTTCTTTTAACTTTGGATGACTGAGCCTCTTGAATTTCTTTCTAAACAATATGCATCAAAATAAAACTTCGTTGAAGTGAATATTAGCTAGCTCTCACGTACTTTACATTTGGCTACGTTTTCAGGTGTGAAAGGCAGAAACTTGTCCGATGTCTCACTCTGCGTTATTCTCTCATCGTATCTCTTGTGCCAACCCTGGAAAGTATTAAAGAAATACAGCCATATTGGTGAAAACAGTTAATTGGCTTCGATTAGAAAAAATAGTTAAACAAAAAAATTGGAAAACCTGATAATGGACAACGTAAAGCGGTTCCCCATCCTGCTCTGTGATTTCAGTTATTTTCGCTTCGTAGTAGAACAGCCCATGTTTACACATAACTTTATCGTTTAGCTCGTACTTCTTCAGTTCTTTCTTCGGTCCCATGTTCACCTGAAACAAAGCCAGCAGAACTTATATCTGTTCTGCAAATAAAAACAATTCACGAATGCTGGTACAGTGGCCTTAATCAGACTTAAAAATATGGACCGTAGGTACAGTCGATATCTTGAGGCCTGATTGTGCGCGTCACCGGTCTGTTCACTAGGACAGAAAGCGACTTTTTCGCGTTTCGCAGCGCGAAACATTTTCGCTGCGGGAACCTCAGGTCCACTGATCATCAGTGGACCTGAGGTTCCCGCAGCGAAAAATGTTTCGCGCTGCGAAACGCGAAAAAGTCGCTTTCTGTCCTAGTGAACCACACCCCGTGTCACTGGAAATGATGTGGCAGCCACCGCACTTGATAGATGTTGTGTGGATAAAATACTCCGCCAGATATCAGCAAAGCGTGTTGGAAGCAGCTTATCCGCGCAACTTCTATCAAGTGCGGTGGCTGCCACGTCATTTCCGGTGACACGCCCAATCAGACTTCGAGATATCGACTGTATGTCATCACGCCTTTTCGACGAAAACCGTTTGATACCTCATGAGCTGAATGTTGGTTTTAAGTGACAGCTACGCATTTGATAGGAACACTAGTACAATGGGGTCAGCTACCAACGACGCTGCTGCTTAGGTTCACGAGCAAAACCAGAGTAGTAGAACACATGCAGAGCAAGGCTGGT